GTGTGTGAAATTATTCGATAAATGGTATTTAGAAAACGGAAAGCTCAAGAATCATGTTCGTATGCAAAAGAAATTGCGCCCACGATTATAAGTGGGTGCGCCAAAAATGTTCAGTACGCCGACACGAAATTGCGCACACGGATGTGTGGCTAAGGATGGATTGGGAGTGAGAGTCCGTGGGGCTAGACCTGGGCGGAACTGGGCCTCTTAGATGTTAATCCCCCATCCCGTGCTTCCCACTGTTTATGATCTTTTTACACTCTTCAGAACTCCATATCTCACCTGCTAGGTAGTGGAGTCCGCTTTGAAGACATCCTACAACTACTAGTTACTACAAATAATGTCCTAAGCTTGAGGCCTGCTGGTCCTATTCAAATTATTCCGCTTGCCTTGGCTATAGGCAGGTGCCCAGACAGTCAACAGTACTGTTGCCGTCAGGCCGTGTTAGTAGTCTGGGAATCGCTTTTTTCAGTGCTCTGGTGCTATGCTGTCAAAAGCATAGAGGGCGTTGCATACTGTTTCACTCACAGACATAAATAACCCATGTCGATGGTTATGGCTTCGTCAAAAGCAAAGATCGTATTGCGCCGAAGTGCATTATGCGCACCGCATTGCCAGAGACCGTCGCCAGAGGGGCTGCAGACTTCTCACCGTTCGGTTCCTGAATACAGTAATAATAGGAGTGACACGAGGACAAATAGTAAATGGAATGCTACGGTTTAAGTTCTTAGATGGCCTTAAAATGTACGGATGCAACACTCTTTTGTAAGACGTGTGTAATACCATGGGCGTCGCCCCAAGGAGACAAAATTCTTCCCAGGGAGATATTACTCAGGAGCAAACTTGCAAACTATCTAATTTTTTTAACAAGAAAATGAACAGACCACGTTATTATTTTGAATGTATCACGGGCACGCCTGGGATTGCTGCCCCCCCAACTCGACCGTCCAACGCCTGATTTTTGGAAGCTTGGCATTCATGTAAAAACACTCCTTATCAGTACAAATATGGATTTTTTTCTCAATATGACTTAGGTTCTTGTTGTCATGGTCATTTGAAGTTGAAGGCCACGTCCGCGCGCCGGACCGCGTGCAACAGTGAGCACGGCAGTTGGGGTGGATGATTTTTGGCAGACCTGTCTAGAAGAAATGGACGTTACGCAAACAATGTACATGGATATTCCATTTTGAAAAAAAATTGGTGTCAACTGACTGCAAAGAGTTACTGAAAAGTCTTTTAAAGGCTTGGCTCGTAAAAAAACTCACCGCGACGATATCGGGAAAAAATGTCGAGGGTCGGATTCCGCCCCCCTGCTCTTTTAGGGCATGGAGGGAGGAAGAGGGTAGGAGACTGAAAAAAAATCCGTTATAATATTAATGTGAGGTCTCCTTTGAATTCTGTTGATGTTAAGCTGGAGTAAGCTGTACAGACATAAAGTCAGTTTGAAGCTTTTCCAGAAAGAGAGAGAGAAATCTTGCTTGTGCGAGATTATTGGTATTTATGTACAAATATAACACGTGAGGCAATCCAGCATGTCGGAACTCCTCTGCTGCGCACGAACGTGTATAATAAAATCTGGACTCACAATGCCCTTAAGCAGCTTACAGAGTCATTGAATCCACACGCGGTCATTTTACCTGGGCGAATACAAAGCTTTCCTGGCAATGCCCACCTTTGTTCTTCCTGACGTCGATAAAAGGGAGCCAAGCCACGCTTTTGTATTCGGCTCGGTAAAGTGGCCGCTAGTTGGCTTCTTTTTCGTACAAAGGCGTTGCAAGTCCAGGTTTTTTAAATCCGTCCGTGCTGTTGCGACCCCTCGTAGAGATTGGCGCCATCTACTGTTCCTGCTATCTGGTTGCGCTGGTCAGTGCATTCTCGCTTCGTGATGTACATGTACATGTACGCAACGAGCCAGTACAATGCAAACCCAGCCTGGAGAGTTGCGACATGAGCTTCTTACAAATGGAGAATTATTGCATGCATGCTGTAGTGAATACATTATAATGGCAGTCATTTTGGTTCCAAGGTCTGAAGTTGGTGCTACTCTCTCGGGTATACAGCTGCACTATGAAGATAATAGGCGCCAATGAAAAGGGCAATGGGTTTTTGATGTGAAATCAAAAATCGAAACTTGGAAGAAAAAAAAGTTGTTTTTTATTTTGAAAAAGAAAAACCTAAAATCGAAAAAAGAGTTGTCTCTATTTTTTCATCTGAAAACGGAAAACGTGAATAAAAGAAAAGGCTTTTCTTTTTTTGCATCTTGAAAATGGTACATAAGAAAGGAAAGCAGTAGTTTCTTCCAAACTTCATTATAAGCCGTATTTTGCCTTATACACGTAGTTCGAAGTAGGTTAGATTCCCTTTAATAGACTTCAGTTTCGCTGGTTTCAGTCTGAGCTTGAACATGTGGTTTCAAACACTGCTTCGAAATGGCTGGAACCACTGCAGCGAAACCAAAGTCTGAGCCGAATATACTCATTTTGAAAATATTTTTAATACGGGAAGTAGTCAAGGCATAAAGGATGACATCAAATCTAGGAGATGTAGCATTCAACATGTCTGTTATTCTAGCGTAATGAAGTTGTGCAAAAGCTGAGATCTTTATGCAGGAAAAGTGGATTTAAAAGTGGATAAAACTAATTTAAAACTATGATCATCAAGTGCGGAACTCAGCAAAGTGAAGCAATTTTTACTCACTCATTGTTATTTTGTGGATAGTATCGGTAGTGCACTTCCTATAAGATGGGGCACGTGCCCCCCCCCCCGTAGTTACGCCACTGTTTCTCGGTTTTGTGTTGAAAACGGTGAACGAAAAGCGAAAGCAATTCCTTTACAATTTCATTTAATCCGAATTTTGCCTTACAGGAAAATTAGTTCGAAGAAGGCTGGTTCCTTTCGGTATCTATAATAATTTAAGAGAGATAGCAACCACTTCCACTTCGGAGGAGCATACAACACGTTGTTTCTTAAACAGTCAGCGGAATAAACATATAGGCAAAGCTGGAATCTTTATGCAGGAAAAAAGAGAAACATTTTAGAATTGTGATGCATGGAGGGAAGTCGTTTTTAAAATGTAGAACAAGAAACGACCTGTTTTTTTTTCTTTTCAAATGGAGAAACGAGAGACAACTTATTTTTGAATTTTCATTTCTGTTGTTTTTGTTTTCAAATAAAACAAACGAATAATAAACGAAATGTGCACGGATCCACTGGACAGAGTTCTTTTGAACAAGACACTTTCCGTGTGCGTGCGACACTTTGGGAACTGAGAGTACTGTACAAATACAGTACATGCGTTAAATACGACAGCAAGTAACCCACAGTGCTTTGCACGTCCAAAGCTATAGGGGTGCAGACCACTAATTCATGCTGATTTTACACTGTTTTCAATGGGGCTTGAATTAGTGGACTGGACCCATAGGAGTGACGTTTTTGAAGTCAATTTGCCCTTCCCACGGCCCAGTGCACTGTATGTAGTGTGTGGGCGCCGGATGATGGGCGAATACTGACGCAACATTGTTTCTCTTGTTCCAGGAGAGAAGCTCGTTGCCTTATTTGCTCGTTAACCCGAAGAAAAAACAAACAAAACTAACAAAAAACCGGCGAGGTTGTTACTGACATAGTTCGCTAACTGTCCATTTTTAGGCCTTACAACCAACCATGGAGGTCTTATCCTACCACCATGAACCGACATGCAAAGCGTCGGGATAGACCAATCCCTTTCACAAAATATTCTACAGGAAGTACAGTTGTTAAAGGGCACTGTGGGTAGCTGACTACACGCATCAATGGGTCCGAGTTGACTCGAAACCGCTGCATGCACGTTGCAAAACAAACAAAAAAAAAACCAACGGAAGTGTTGACCCAGGTCGCGGTGCGGTTGTTCTTAGAAAATGCATGCGCACCCTGAACAGATAGTTATGTGAGGGAGGTGCGGTACGTGCGCCTGGGGACGAGGGCAGAATGCGATTGAGAAGTCCGGTTGGCATAGTGGTTCCACATGTAGATTGGGTTTTCAGCCCGTACTGGATTCTGTGGGTTTTCTCCAGGGGTTTTCCTTCTGCCTTTAAAACTGTAACTGCTTCTCATTGTGTCCTCTCCATGTGTGAAGATGTAGGTAGTTCGACCTTGGTTCGGCTCCCTGAGGAGCAAAATTTGCATGCCTTCGACTCACGTTGTAATCTGAGGGCCTCCCAGCGTGGATCCAGGGGGAGGGGTCAAACCCCCTCCCCTCGCTCTGGGGCCAAAATTTTAAAAAAGGAAAAAAATGGGAAGATAAATAATAACTGTACTCAATTTATGTTATGTTTCTGTGTATGTCAATTGCTGGATCTGCCCCTGCGTCCATGAAATCAGTGCAGATATGCACTGATCAGAGCTTTACCCTCATTATGATGATGATATAAATGAAGAAACTAACACTACAGAAATTCCGTCGGATGGGCCGGGGGGACGTCCTGGATAAGAATTTATCTTGTCTCCCTCTCAAAATATTCAGACAACACGAATTCATTTTCCAGCGTGAACGTGGATGCTTCTTTCTTTCTTTTCTTTTTTTGGAAAATCTTAACTATACGTTCACACATTTTGTTCCATACTTATCTCTGACTTAAGATTGTTATGATTTCGGTTGAATAATAATGCACCCCCCCCCCTCTTGTTTGGCTCCTCTCTTCTGTTGCAGCTGGTTGGTTGTCTATAGTCCCAATGAATCTCTTGACGGGCAGCGGGAACCAGTGAGAGCATGACCGCTAGTCCCAGCTGTTTGACCCCAGAATGCCGTAACTACTTTCAAAGCCAAATTGTGTCGACGGAATTGAATAGGAGGATATTACTCCGAGACTCACCTTGAATAATCATCCTCAATAGTGTTTTATCGACACATTGTGTCACTTTCACGGTTTTTATTATAGAAGGAAATGTTTTCATCAGTAAATCTTCGAAATGAGTTGTAAAGATCATGAGGGGTACAAAAAGAGTACTACTTAGTAGTCGCTCCTGTGTAGAATAATGCACGCCGTGACGAGGCCCTACGTACGTGTGCGGCTAGCTGGGCTAGAGTTAGCTAGATAGCTGAATGCGTAGTGTGTATGTTATGAATGCGATCGAGAAGACGCAGTCTGGGAAGTGTGTGGGTCATGTCCAGTTTATCAGGCATAGCAAAACACTGAATTTGCCGTAAGCGTGGCAACCACTGAGTGAATCTAACTATAAACTTCCTTTTTTCGTTGTGGAAACACTCTACATTTTTGCGTGGTAAATGGCAAAAAAATGATTGAGCCGGAGCCGTTTGTCCCACCACCGGAGGCTCCCGTCTTTGAGCCTACGGAGGAGGAATTCGCCGATCCACTAGGCTACATCGCTAAGATTCGCCCCATTGCTGAGAAGAGTGGCATTTGTAAAATCAGGCCTCCTTCGGTGAGACCAGTTTTTAAAGTGATTTTCCTCGGAAAGTGTGAAGTGTTATCTCATAGAAGTATTGTAAATTTTTCCGCATTTACTTCTTCTGTCTCACTGAGGGTTTTGTGACAAAATTTCTGTTTTGGTTTGGAAGCAATGAGAAAATATGTGAAGAGTTGACGGCGACAGAATTCACATTTCCTGACAAAAACACCGGGTTAGTGCCAGTGGATATGCAAACGTGTGCTGTGTGAATGAACTGTCCATTGTGTCCCAGATTGCGTTGCCCGAAAAGGCGTGTACCGAAGTTGTCGCAATTATAATTCATCTTTGTCAAAGGAAAACAAGACAGTCCACTGTCTTCAATTTCAGATAACTAGGCTTACATTAGCATGGTAACCAGGAAAAGAATTAGCCTATTGTGTTGCAAGGGTAACCGTCTGTGATAAAAATTTCAAATTCACAGTTCATTCTCTTTTCTTTTGACTGTGTGCAGGGTGTGCAAAATAAACATGAAGGCATAATTCTTCCAAACTGACATTCATGTAAATTGAGAACTACTAAATTGAAAAATATGGCATATCTTGTTAAATGTTGCATTCAAAGTACTAGTGATTACACATCATATAGGCCTACGTGCCATAAACGTGAGCCTGAATTTCATGATTTTCAATTTCTGTCAAATTCAATTTCGGAGTCCTATTTTGCACAGATATAAATACATATTATCCAGAAAGGTACGAAATCTTAACCTGCTTGACTAACCATCCCAAAATGTGAACGTGTTAGGTTGTACCTTGTATGGATGGCGCAGATTCACTTGAAACAGCCCCGTATCAAGTTAATTTCTCAACCTTTTTGGATACATGAAGTAGTGTGTCAAGTCTACTGCAAGCAACACACTTGTTTTGTCCCAAAATTAAACATTTTTTGTAGTTGCAAAAATTTATTTTTGCAGTCACTGATCACTATTGATTGTAAATAGATGAACATGAAGGATATGTGCATTACGTCCAACTTTTGTGGTTTTTGCCACTTTTATGACAAGCTTCATCTTGAGGTGTCATGAACGGTTATGAAAAATTCCATGGTTCTTATGTTAAATATATGGACATGCTTTCTGATTTTACTTTTGGAATAGCATTGTTATCTTGCCATTTTTGATTGTACATTGTGGAATTTTACATCTTGAGTTCCCAGCCTTTATAAATTTGTAATCAGAAATTTGACATTGTCTAACAAACACATGTGCATGTTGAAATTGTTAGTGCAGCGATAGTTTCAGTTTATTAAAACTAGAATTTGTACATTTTTCCCGACATATCTGTTGTCTGTCCAGTTTGTCAGGACAAGTATCGTGCCTGAAATAAGGGTCTGTAGACCTAAGTTATACCAGCATACTGTACAAGCGCAAGGAATAATTGTTAGAACACATTCTATTTTGCAATGAAACATTTTCCACTCAGTTGTTTACAGTGCTTGGTTACTTCCCTGGTGGAGAGTTACATGTAATTGTCTGCTATAAATATTATTTGAAATAGTCTAAGTCACAAAGTTATCATTTTAGATTATGCCAAATCTGTTTATTTATTGTATACTTTTGAATGGGTTGTTGCAAGACTGGTTTGGATGATTACAGGATTTGCCGCTTTTTCAAGAATTTTGTAGCAAGAGAAATACTGTAACTCACTCAATATCCCTGATTGCCTACGCTCACTGTGCCTCCACCCTGCTGAACCTAACAGAGTCCAGCAGCTAGAGCAAGAGGCCTTTTGTTAACAGCTCACATCAACAAAGTCACACAGAAAGAGCCCACTGTTGGACATTGTGAGGTTCATTATGGTTATGGATACATGTATTATTTTTCATGTCACACTCAGATGTACATGTATGTTCATCTGTATTGCATCATCCCCATTTGTACAGTTTTAAGTTAAAACTTGTGCTCAAATAGTTTGCATCTGTGGTCTTCCAGTTTATTTTACTGGAACTCAACCAGGCGGAGGAGTAAAAAATTATGTGATTTCTCCCTGTAGTAAAGTTTGATTGCCAAAAGTGTGTGTAATGCCCATGGGTCATTTTTTTCCTGTCCATATAGAGGATTTTCATTCAGTCTTGATTTTTGACTGTCAGCGTTCAATTTAAACAGATGTGGTGCATGGGAAAACGTGCACTTTCAAAATTGCCAATAGAAATACAGCGAACACAGATAAGAAGGGCACTATAAGAAGGACAATATTAGGTCCCCAGTCTTTAATTTTCTTTGTTTTCCATTAGTGCTAATAAAAGGTAACCAGTGTGAGTCTGGAGCGTTAACACACATGGGCATGGTGACCTTTCCCTACTGATACAGCATTTTTTGTCCAAATTCAACTTAAAATATCTCAAGTTGGCAACGACAAATTTGTAATCCCTTCGATACAAACATGTTTTAGAACTTCAAATTTTTGTCTGTTGTAATGTCATTTTTTTGCACAGTCAATCAAATTTTTGCAATAGAAATTTTTCATTGGTGTTTTTATTCCATATGTGGCAGTGTTTAAGAAAAGCACCCATAACACGAAAACACTCATACAATTCGTTGCAGGCTGCTAGAACAGGCCTTGTGATTGTCAGATTGCGCAAGATTTGTGACATAATAGGCTGTCCAAATATGGTAATACTCCAGATCGATTATTACAAGTACCTTGTTACAATGTATATGAGTGTTATGCTCTACGCAGATTTGAAAATGTATGTGCCTCTGTGGACATGTACGCTTCCTGATATGCCTTTGCCCGTCATGTTACGTCATTGAAAATCCTCTATTACATCTGTTGTATAATTTTGTAAGTTTAGCACACATTCTTTAATTTCTATAAACTGAGGGATTTCCAAGAAGGGACTGTCAGTCCATTCACTGGAAACAAAATGTATATGATGCAGTGCATGTTTATGTTTGTAGCCTACTGGTAAGTCATGTACATATACATGTATACATGCATATGCAGTGCATATGGGGACCCTTTCACGGATACTTCACTGCATTGTAACTCCAGCTCCAAAGTTACCATCATTGTATGAACAGAGCACATTTTGGACTTCAATACTTGGCTGCACAGAAGTCCCAAGTTCATAAATTGGATAGGAGCTAGCGGAAAGCACATGTCCCAAGAGAATTTGCACATCTGATTGCAACAAATACGATTTTTAATATTCTGCAATGAAATTATGATGAAATAAAATGGTGTAGGCAGTATATGTACTTGTATGTTGATAGTAAATATTTCACTTGACCTTAGAAACTGGTATGTATAAGCTTGTAGATGTTTCCCAGAACACATACTTTTTGTGTCTCATTTCACTGAGCTGTGGATTGGATTCCTGAGTGCATATTTGCTGTAGTGCAGAAGGACAGGGCTCTTTCTGAATTCTATGGTGTGAAGGGCGAGACTGTCAGTGGTTCATAATGGCAGTATTGTGATGCTACACACATTAGATAATCTGTGACTGCATTGTTAGTGTGTGTCATTGTTAACATAAATAGCATGACCTATGCTCTGTAAACATTGTCTTCACTTGCATGTTAAAACTGAACATGTGCTACACATGTACACTGTACATGTACATGTAGGTGTTGTTTGCTGCATTGTACATGTATGTGTGCGTGTATGATGTACATGTGTGTACCTTTTCTGCCGCACCGTGCTCACTGGAAGCATTTTTCCAACTTGAAAGCGAACCCTACTATAAAGAACAAAATATATTGTGTTAGATAACCTTTTCCTACATCTTTCCTTATATAAATGAAGTTAACCACCTGGCCATAGTTCCTAATCACTATACCCTCCATATGATCAGCATAGAAGTTTCACTTTTACTCAAGTATCTTTATTTTTGGGGTGAAAGGTCATTGACAGATGATGAATAAGATCATGCATAATACATGTTCTTGTACCTTTAGCTAACATGATTTTACTGTCAAATGTAATTTGTTTAGAATCACTGCATCATATACAAATCCTTTTTCAATTTGGTGTAGCTTCAACAGTATGCAAGGATTCATGTACCTGTACAAA